GGCGGCAGCGGCAGCCAAGAGCGAAATCATGAAGGGAGACAAGCTTGGAAGACAAGCCAGCAGAGGCAGCCAAGAGCGAAATCATAAAGGGAAATAAGTTGAACAGACAAGGCGGCAGCGGCAGCCAAGAGCGAAATCATGAAGGGAGACAAGCTGCACAGACAAGGCGGAAGCGGCAGCCAAAAGCGAAATCATGAAGGGAGACAAGCCGGCAACGGCAGCCAAGAGCGAAATGATGAAGGGAGACAAGCTAATCAGACAAGGCGGCAGCGGCAGCCAAGAGCGAAATCATGAAGGGAGACAAGCTTCATAAACAAGGCGGCAGCGGCAGCCACAAGCGAGATCATGAAGGGAGACAAGCTTGGGAGACAAGGCGGCAGCGGCAGCCAAGAGCGAAATCAGGAAGGGAGACAAGCTTGAGAGATAAGGTGGCAGCGGCAGCCAAAAGCGAAATCATGAAGGGAGACAAGCTTCACAGACAAGGCGACAGCGGCAGCCAAGAGCGAAATCATGAAGGGAGACAAGCTTGGGAGCCAAGCTGGCAGCGGCAGCCAAGAGCGAAATCATGAAGGGAACCAAGCTTCACAAACAAGGCAGCAGCGGCAGCCAAAAGCGAAATCATGAAGGGAGACAAGCTGATCAGACAATGGCGGCAGCGGCAGCCAAAAGCGAGACCATGAAGGGAGACAAGCTTAGGAGACAAGGCGGCAGCGGCAGCCAAAAGCGAAATCATGAAGGAAGACAAGCTTGGGAGACAAAGCGGCAGCCAAGAGTGAAACCATTGAAGGGAGACAAGCTTGGGAGGCAGGGCGGCAGCGGCAGCCAAGAGCGAAATCATGAAAACAGAAGCTTGGGAGACAGGGCGGCAGCGGCAGCCAGGAGCAAAATCATGAAGGGAAACAAGCTTGGAAGACAAGCCGGCAGAGGCAGCCAAGAGCGAGATCATGAAGGGAGACAAGCTGAGCAGACAAGGCGGCAGCGGCAGCCAAGAGCGAAATCATGAAGGGAGAC